GAACAACTAGTGGCCCTAATAGCTCTTGGCCCCACTTCCTGCCTCGAGTCCTAAGACAGAATATCCCTGTGGGTGGGGCGGGCAGTCTCTGTAGCAGCGGGTATGCGTTTGGCTGCTTCTGGGCCTGTGGTCGGTCTGACTGGTCTCTGGACCGTGTGGAATAAGGAGGTGCAGTGCAGGCCTGTGGCCCTGCTGGTCTGGCCCCGTCTGTTCCTGTCCGACTCTCCAGGACCCCCCACTTGTTCTGCCCTTCCTCTGAGCAAGGCCTCCCCTCTCATTGGTTTCCCTCTGCCTCAGACACACCCGGGAGGAGGGGTCTAGTTATTGCCCCCTGCACTTAGTCGTGTAGAAGAGTTCAGCTTTCGCCTGGTGAGAAACTCATTTTCATGGCCAGCTCTCACCAACCAGTAAAACTCTGAGTCACGGCACGTTTTAGAGCTACACGAGCTCTTCCCTAGAATCAGACGTAGTCTGCAGGGTGCTGCTCTCTTTTCGCCCACATTCCATGAATATAGGGTGGCTGTTACGCCTCTTTCTCCCTCCATTCCTCAAGGGCAGATAATCACCCAGAACTCTAGGGGACCCTTCTCACAGCTGAGGAAGGGCTACCCTTCAGAATATGTTAAGAGTCCATTCAGGACCAGCAGTTAGTGTAATGGTTATGTTGCTGGACTCCCATGTAGTCGACCGTGGTTCGAGTCCTGGGCCTGGTGGCTTAAACTCACACCAGGAGACCCGTGTGTGTGCATGCCCAAGATCCCAAGAGGAGAATGGAGAAGGGATTGAGCTGTGGCCATCCCTTTTGCAGGGTGGTTTCTCGCTTTTTTGTCTCTCTGTGTCTTTCTTTCTGGCGAGTGCACACCCCCTATAGCAAAAACCTCTCAGAAAAAAAAAAAAAGAGTCCATTCAAAAGATTTGTCATTGGGGCCAGTAGGTGACATGGTGGCACTGGACTCCCATGTGGCCAGCCCACTGTGGTTCGAGTCCCCCACCTGGCAGTTTGAAAATCATGCAAGGTCCTTATGCATATGTGCCCAAAATCCCAGGAGGAGAATGGAGGAGAAGGGATCATGGCATGGCCATCTCCCCTGGGGGGTGATGTCTCCCATTCCCTCTTACTGTCTCTGTCTCTCTCCAGCAAGTGCATGCATCCTGTGACAAAAGCCTAAGAAAAGTGCCTGCCGCTAGGTAGAGAAGCTGCTATGAACAGGCTCCGGTTTGGAGCCGCCATCACTTCCCAGAGCCGGCTGGGCTGGTCTTTTCTCTGTGGGTTATAGGCAGAGCTCTCTGGTCTCTTACAAACACACAAATCACAAATAATACATGCAGACGAGTGTCCTTTGTCACCAGAACATGGTGTGCAGTTCCTGGGTTCCAACCTCAGGGAGGAGTCTGCCTAAAACCGTGACCCCAGAAGAGCCGCTTCCGTGGCAGCTGCTTCCCCAGTGGTCTGAGCCCCCTGGCCTTTAATAACGAGGCTCCCAGAGACAGGTTCTGGCCTGATGCGCATTTGTGCCCCAAGGAGAACCACAGGACACTATCAATTCTTTTTCTCTGGCTTCACACACAAGGCAGTATCTGCTTGGGCTGTTTTCTGCTTGATCATTGAGTCAGAATTTAAAAGTCACCTTTAGCAAAAAAGAAAAATATGCTGATGAAAAGCTTAAGAACCCTTTCATAAAGAACCACAAATCTACCCTAACCGAGGGCCCCAGAATCCACTACGGCGAAGGAGACTTCTCGGTGGGCCTTCCTTTCCCGTGTTTGGGCAGAACCGTGGTCCTGCACACCCAGACAAGAGACTCCTCTCCTCAAGTCTCACAGGACACTCTTCCTAGCCACCTGCATGTCAGTGATGGTGTTCACCCTGGTACGGAGTCTCAAAGTGCTTGAGTCCAAAGCTACTAAGCTGATGAGGACGTTAGGATGGGACGTGCCCCAGTCTCCAGCTTGGAGATCGAAGCTAGGTGCTGGGGGCCTGGTCCTTTGTTGACTCTGTAGAAGGCTGCAGACAGCCCCGCCGTCTGAGCAGTCTGGGCCTGTAAGCAGCCTGGTGACACTGGCCTTTCCCTGTGGATCCCAGAGCCTGTTGTGGGGTTGATTGGCCAGATATCGCCAGATCGGGCTCCACCAAGCGCGTCCACGTGGGATCCACTGAACCATCACCTTTTCAGATGCATAGTGGACATCCGTTCTGTTTGCTCTGTGCTTGGAATTCTGGGGCAGTCATTCTCTGATTCTCGATTTCATAGATGAGTACTCTAGTTTCAGCCAAAGGTGGGAGGAGACTGCAGACAGCTGCAGGTGTACCGACATTTTCTTCTGCCCAAGCAAGGATGCAAATAAAAAGAAGCCCACCACCAGCACTGACATCTGAGCGCCCTGAGACAGGAGGGGCAGGGCTGTCCTGAGTTCATCTGAGCGCACTGAGACAGGAGGGGCAGGGCTGTCCTGAGTTCAGACAGGGAGCTTCATTATGAGAGAAATACTGACTAAGACAGCCATGAGCCTTCTGCAGCTGGAGACAGGGCGGCCCAGCAGGTGTGCCGTTCTGCACATGCAGGCTGGCGAGGGCTCCCGCGGCAACTATGTCACCCAGAGAAGTGAGGGCGAGAGAAGCACCGGGTCTGGCTGCAGCCTTCGAGGGAGAGGGATGCTCTTGCTTCATGCTAGAGGCGCAAGCAAAACCTCTTGGCCCAGCCAAGGTCTTTCTGGAAACAAAGCCGCAAAAGCACCATCTGTCCCCACTGTGACGTTACTACAGAAGGACACAGACTACAAGGGGAAAGAACTAAAAAAACAAACTTGCCCATTTTTAAAATGGATGCATTTTGAGGTACCTCAGTAAATGGGAGGTTTTAAATTTTTAAAAAATTATTGGGACCAGCATTTGGCGTAATGGCTATGTCGCTGGACTCCCATGTAGTCGACCACAGTTGGAGTCGACCCGGTGCTTAAACTCACGCCGGGCGCATGTGCATGCGTGCCCAAGATCCCGAGAGGAGAATGGAGAAGGGATTGCAGTGTGGCCATCCCCCCCGGGGGGTGATTTCTCGCTTTCGGCTAAGATAACCCATAAGTCTAAAACAAGTGCCCGTTGTGGGCTAAGTATTGAACAGGTGTGCTATATCTTTTTTTTTTTTTTTTTTTTTTTTTAGTTTCTTTTTCTTCTGTGAATGAGAGGCAAGAGAACAACCCCCACAGGGCCTCATGCCAGAGCCCACTGCCAGCTTCAGCCAGCCCCAGGTTACGGGCACACGTGTGCCTGGCCTGTTCAGGGAGGTCTCTGAACTTTTGGCTTGGGTCAGTCTGCAGAGTGTCACCCGCCCCACGATGGGCCCCCAGAAAGCAGTTGTTAAGGCACAAAAGCACTGGCGGCCTTGTCCCGAGGTGCCTGGTTGAGGACAGTTACCCCCCTCTGACCGGGAGGCCGGGTCCGATGCGCTGTGCTGGCTGTGGCTCACGCGCCCTGTGAGACTGGTCTGCTCCCACGTCACCTGTCTCCCGCACTGCTCCGCGTGGCGCAGTGGCAGAAAGCGGCTGTTCCAGTCGCTCGTTTCACTTCCCAGGAATGTGCACAGCCTGCCGTGGCCGACGTCCAGAGCAGAGATGCAGGCTTGTCAGGGCTGTGGAAGGCCACAGCGTGCTGCTCAGGGACACGCCACGGCTCTCCTTCCAAGTGGCACGTTTGTGGCTGATTTTAATAATGACTCTGGAAGGTCAAAAAATGCTCACTATCTAGGCCCGGTGGTGTGTGCCCGTGATCCCAGCTACCTGGGAGGCTGGGGCAGGAGGGTCACGATGCAGTAAGACATATCTAAAAACAACAAAGAAGCCCTGACTAGAAAAGGAGAACAGTATGGTATACCCTAGATTTTTCTATCCCAAGTTGTTAAAGGAAAAAGCTTAGCATAATGATTATGCAGAATCTGGATTTTGAGAAAACCGGTGCCTTGGGGACGGGGACACAGCAGTGCTGGTTCAGGGCCATGGGCAGGCCGAGCTCTCGGCTGGGCGGTGTGTTATCCGGCCCATGCTGTTTTACGGTGAATCAGCTCCTCCTGCTTCCTGGTCAGCACACTCCCTATACTCACTGCATGGCCCACCTTTGGATGGCGCTGCCATGGTCTTGCCACCAGTCTGTCCCTCGGCAAAGTCTGGCTCCTTGCTGCCAGCAGGGTCGCTGGGCACTGTCACGTGTCCTACCGCCACGTCATCGCTCCCCTCCGTCCACTCTTTGAGCCTGTGCCCCCCAGAAGCTGCAGCCTCAGCTCCTAGTGAAGCGCATCTATGCGGCCTGACCTTCTGCACCTGAGCTGGGCTTGCAGCAGTGCGGGGTCTTGCCTGGAGTCCGGCGGAGCACGGTGCTGGGCCTGGTGCCCACGTTCTGCAGGCTCCTCCGTGGCACCCACACAACGGGCAGGACGTGGCTGAGCAGGGTGCTGCTGCTGGGTCTCGGGTGGGGAATCAGGTGCCCACTGAGCATCTGCTCCAGGGAGTGGGGCCGTGAGCTTAGCTGTCATTCAGCTGTCTCAGCAGTCACCAGTGACATTCATATGATCCCAAGGAAGGAAGGAGGGTGACAAGAGAAACAGCACCAGGGCCAGGCATCCAGAGCCCCAGGTCTCTCATCACCTCCCGTGAGCCGCCGCAGCCCTAATACCTGTGCAGCCTTGAAGCACGGGTCTGCGGCTGCACATGGGGAGCAGGGGCATGGTGGTGGTGGTCGGGATGCCAGGTGAGAACCAGGAGGCTGGAGTGGCAGCACGGTGCACGGCCAGGGGCTGGCGCGGGGGGTTAGCCCAGGCGCTCCCTGCTGCCCCCTGCCTGCAGAGCCTGCCAGGGCCCTCCTGCGAGGGGCTGCAGCCCCCACACTGCTGGGCTCGGTACACCCCAAGCTGCCCCTGGAGAAGCAGGTCTGGGGAGGGCCCTCTGCTGGGCCCAGAATTTAAGGCCCTCCTCTGTCCCCAGGATGCCTTCCAGGAGGAGTACTATCGGACAGGCACCTTCCCCGAGACGCCCCTGGTGCCCCCCCGGCGGCCCTGGACACTGCTCAACTGGCTCTTCTGGGCCTCGCTGCTGCTCTACCCCTTCCTCCAGTTCCTGGTCAGCATGGTCCGCAGCGGCTCTTCCCTGACGTTGGCCAGCTTCGT